TTATAATATTTTACTTGTCTATAAACCATCGTCATAATTATTAAATACACATTAAATTATAAGAAGATTTCTTAAGTCACTTTTTAGCTGACTGATAATTTATTAAATACACGTCACCAACCTTTAGTTATTTATCTTATCTTTCCCATCTGATTTAAAATACGTGTTGAGCACATAAGAAGATATAATATATTTGAAATCCAAGTAAAACAGTGACAATAGTTTTTATCTTATATAAAAATAAGAAATTATATTTTGAATTTATAAGATTCAATATAATATTTATGAATATTATTTTAAAAATATTAGAATTAAAAAATTAACTTTTTATTTTAAAATAATATATATATATAATTTTTTTATAATTAAAATATAAAAAAATAATTGACTTTATATATAATTAGAATAGCTTTATCAAATTAAATTTAAAAAATCTGAAAAATATATTATAATATATGATATGATCTTTATTTTAGTATAAAAATTAAAAACTTTTATATAAAGAGAAAAACTCATATTTTTTTATATTTTTACAATGTTTTATTAATAAATTTGTTTTAGCATTCCATTCTTTTTGATTGCTACTATATATATAAAAATTTTAATTATTTAAATATAAACTTTTCTAAAAAATATTTTTTATTAATTATAAAATTAGTTAAATAAATAAAAGTTAACAAAGAGAATTAAATAATAAATAAAATAAAAATTTTTTAAGTTTATATCAATTCTTACTAAAATTATTTAATTTAAAAATAAATATAAAAACAAAATAATAGTAATTTAATTATATATAACTTTTTAATTAATTATATAATTAAACAAAATATTCTAATTTATTAACAAATAATATTCTAATTCTAATTAACTAATTCTTAATACTAATATAAATATATTATAAAATAATTTTTTGTTAATAAAAAATAATTATAATTATAATTATGTTTTTATAATATTTTACTAATTATTATTTTTCATAATTACTCAAAATTATTATATAATCGAAATAATTAAACAAATTATTTTTAAGTATATATTTAAATATTATTTTTATAATTTTAAATTTTAAAATAACTAAATTTATACTAAAATATATCAAATTTATAAACTTTTTAATAATTATTTTAATTAAGTTTTTTTATTTTTGAAATTAATTTTCAAAGATATAAATAATATTTATAATTTAACTTAATTATATTTATTTTTAAAAAATTTATTTTTTGACTATTTTATTTAATAATTTCAAATAAATTAAATAATTATATAATTTTTAATATATAATACTAATTTTAAAAATTATAATAAGAGTACTTTATATTGTATTTAACTTATAATTAAGATTAGTAGCAGAGTACTTTATCAAGAAAATATTTTATCAAGAGAGTAATAATTATATTATTTCAAAAAATAAAAAATAATTAACAATAAATTAAATAGTTATTGAATTTTATATTTAATTTTTTATTAGAAACTAAAAGAAATAAATTATAAAAGCAAAAACTAAAAAGTTAAAATTTGAAAAAATATTTTTTAATAAAAAAATTAAAAAAAATGATAATAATAATAAAAAATTATAATTTTTAAAAAATAAATAAATATAATAAATAGAAAAATTATTAGTTTTTATTTGAATAATAATTTTTGTTATACTTAATTTTAAATTAATTTAACTTAAATTATATTTTAATAAATATTATTATTATTTTATTTTAGTTAATATTTTTATTTCTTTTTTATTTAATATTTTTACTTGTTTAATTTAAATATATTAATATAATTAAATTTCTTTATAATAATTATATTAGATTAGTATTTTTAAATATATATATAGTATTTATATTCTTATTTTTAATATGTAAAAAACTTTTAAATATTTAAAATTCTAAATTAAAATATCAATATAATATAAGCTAAATCTTATATATATATATATATATTATTGTAAAGAATTTTAATTGGATTTTGATTTTTTATTATTTATTAATATATTTATAATAACTATTATCTATAATAATTATATTTTATTTGATTACTAAAATCTGAGTTAGAATTAAATTAAAACTTTTAATATTATATATAATAATTATTATAAGTAATCTAATAATTTTTTATTATAATTTTAATATTTCTTTATTATTAATTCTAATATTTTTTTATTATTAATTTTAATATTTCTTTATTATTAATTTGATATTTTTTATAATTAATTTTAATATTTTTTATTATAATTATAATTATTATAAAAATATAATATATAAACTAAAAAATAAAAATTATAAATAATATCTTATTAATTTATAATTATATAATTATATAATATTATAAACTCTAATAATTATTTTATCTTTTTAGTAAATAAAAAATATAAATAATTATTTATTTATAAATAAATGAAAATTTTATATAATTATAATTATTTCTATAAGTTATAAAGTTATAATATTCTTTATTATATTCTAAATAATAAATATATAAAATATTTAAATATATTATAATATATATAATTATATAATAATAAGTATTATTTTATATTCAAATTTTATTATATTCTAATTATATTCAAAAAATAAAAAAATAATTAATATTTATTATTATATTATATTTTAATTTTTTAAATAATTTTTGTTCTTTTGTTATTATAATAAAATTTAATTTTATTTTATTTTTTTACATATATTTTAATTATATTTTGAAAATAAAAATAAATATATTTAAATTTACTAATATTTTAACTATATTCTAAAAAATAAAAAAAAATAGTTCAGATTTTACTTATATTTTTATAAATTAAAATATAAGTAAAATTTAATTGGATTTTTTTATATTAAAAACAAAAAAAACTTCTAAATTTTTAGATTAAAAAATCAGAATATTTCTAAATTAAAATATTACAAAATAATCTAAATATATTAAAAAGTAAATAAAGAAATAATAAGTTAATATTATTATTATTAATATTATAATTTGCTAATATATTTTATATTTAATTATTATTATATTTTTTAATTATTTTTTTAATAAATTATTAATATAATTATTTAATTTTATATTATTATCATAATAAAAAACTATTAATAATGAGAAAATATAACAAAATATAAAATAAAGTTTATAATTTTCTTCAAAATTTATTTATTAATATAAATTAGAAAATATATTAATTTTATTTAAAAACAAAGTCAAATAAATAACAAAATATTCCAGAATATATTTACTATAAAAATTAATATTAAAATATACTTTAATCTTTTTTAGAAAAATATTAGAAAATGAATTAAAAATGACTGGTATTATAAAGTTATTATTTCTGAAATAATTTGAAATATAAATTTTTTTGCTAAAATTTAGTTTAAAATATACCAGAAATTTTATAACTAAATTAAAGATTTACTAAATTAATTAGTAAATTTTTATAATTTAATAAAAATAATAGTTTAGAAAATAAAAAATTATAATTTAGAAAAAAATCACAAAAATATTTAGGTATTTTTAGAAAAAGAACAGGTTATTTTTTTTAAAAAATAGAAAATTTTTTGAATACTTACAGATTTTTTAATTTTTTTCCTAAAAAAATTCGGTTTTTTCTATATAGAATAAAATAACAAATAATTCTGATATTTTTATATTTGACTCTTAATTCAATAGTTTATTGATAATTAGATAACTGGTTGCTAAAAAACTAAATGCTTTACTATATAATTAATAACAATATATATTAAATTGAATATTTCTTTTTATATAGATTCCTAAATTTATCTTTCAGGCTGAATTTGTAAAAACAAGTATATATAAAAAAGTGAAAACTGTATAATACTTGAATTTCTACAAATTAAGTTTTCAAAACATTATTAATATGGAATAAGCTACATTCCTAACTTATAAAAATTAAATTAAATTTTACAAAGATTTATATGATAAGAAAAATGTTATATATAACAAACACGCAATAAAAACCATCAATTAGATGCAATTGAATAATATTGCGTGTATTTCAATAGGAATATTGATGCATGCTTGTTGTCAAAACAAATTAATGAAAATAAAAAACATCGTAGTGAAATTGTGAATTTCTTGAAGTTATGTGCAAATTTGCACACAATATTGCGTGTGAGATTTGCACACAGGATTGCGTGTGAGAAATCTTAATATTTTGAATATAAATTTAAAACTTTGTTTTTTTGTACCGTAAAATTATTGGTATGCAATCATTTTCGATTGAAAAATGATCAATTTTCTTAGATTTTTTTACCAAAAGAAATCAATCTTTTAGAATGAATTTTTTTTGGCCCTTACCACCATTGCGAATAATAAAAAATTGAGTTATTATTTGAATAAGTTTCTTAACTTTTACGTCCCCAGAATCGATATATGTTGACCTGAGTTTCGCATATTTCGAACTCTTGCTCGCAGTTGCTCCACAATTTTTGATATCCTTCCGGAGACAGATTCATAAATGATTGAAGATGTGAAACGACTACAGATTTGAAATAGATTGCCAAATTTTCCGCAAACAGAATTCCGGGTTTACCGCCGCGATGTCCGGCTGTTATCCTTCGAAGATCGAATTGGACTTTTGAAAGTGAATTTGAGCCGGCAAGAAGCGAGTCAAGTTTTAAAACAATTCGTGAATTTACACCTCTTTTTGACAATAATCCCATAACTTTAAGAATGAAAACAGTCAATGTCAGAAATTATTTCATTTTGAATTTGAAATTAAAGAACTGGAAAAGTGAAGGCAAACTTATTTGGCTCTTACACGCAGTAGTTATTTTTTCGAAACAAGGACCCATACTATTTGGGAGTAAATCCAATTCACAAATTTCGATCCAGCCGCCGGGCTTTAATAATCTTTATAATAATGGAATGGGAAGATTAGTTAAGCTACAAGATAAATCAAAGTAAATCGATTGTATGAATCATATACTTTATAGTTTGTTCAATTGCACGCGGCCATTCTTTTTCGTTAAATGAAGTTCCAAGTAAGCTCAGCCGTGCGAAATCAAATTTATCCTCAATCGGCAATTCCCGTAAAATATTGCCTTTAAGAAATTTAACATTTCGTGGCATTATCTGTGATGGAAAAGTAGGAACAATATCAACACCTGTGAAACACGTCATTGGATATTCTGTAGCCATTTCTAGTACCCATGTGCCTGGCCCACATCTTTCGGAACAGAATATAATTTTGTCACTGTCAGCGTATATTCGTATCAAGTAATAATAAAGGTTGAAGGATTTTTCTATTAAGAATAAAATTTGTACCCAATATCAATTACGTATCCGCCCATATTCAACATATTTTCGATAGGAGACGAAAAATTGCATTGCCAAATATGTTGATAGAGAAAATGCTGAATTTGCATTCGGTCAATGTCTTCAATTTTTGATGGCAAATAATATTTATTCTCAATGGTTTCGGCGTCATTGTCATCTTTAGCGGCAAGGGAAACATTGCTTTTCTTTTTTCTTAAACCTGGCGCAGAAAGGCTTATTCCCATTCTATCATTGACTTAGTTTTTTATTCGAAGTTGATGAGTAGATTTGGTTTTTTATATTTTATTAGTAAATAGGGAGGAACGTGTGGAAGGATGAAAGAATGGGACAGATGATAAGAGGAAATATAAATCAATCTTTTTAACCTGAAGAAAAAGAAAGACTATTATTAAATTAGATTAAATTAAATTATATTAAATTATATATATTAATTGTTCTTACAGAACAAAATAATAAAAGAATGTAAAGTATATATATATAGAGGATAATTATGAGGATATAATATATACTGTAAAATATACAAATAAGACGTTAATAAACGCAATAGTGTGAAGGACGATAGAAAAAAAACAACCTCTCTTGCTTATTTATAAATTAGTAAGCTTCAAAAACAGATCGAACAAGAGGAAGATGATCAGTTAATCATTTAGGCAACTGTTTTTAATTCTCTTTATTACTTAGTTAGGTTAGGTTAAGTAACCGAGCACATGTATAATTAATTTCGGGTAAATCTCGGCTTTTTTTTTTATTGATTCTAATAAGCCTAAATTTGAACCTGTAATTATTAATAAATTAGAATGTATTAAGATGGGTGCTTGCATGTAACTTTATTTTTTACGAAACTCGCAATAAAACACTAATTGCTTGGGTTCACTAGAAATTTTTGATTTAAAATTTGGCATTACGAATAAGTCATATTACTGTATACGTTACATGTATGTTGGCTGCAGTTACCGCTACCTCAACAGCTGTTCAGTCTTCGCTGGCTCAACTTTCTGTCGAGTGATCATTGCTATCATCTAGCATCACAGTTCATCTGTTTGATTTCGTGAGAAACAGGGTAAAACTCGAAGGGACGAGATCGTCTGACAGGTTTGTGTGACATTCAATTTCCATACCATATAACGATAACACGAAACAGTATTCATTAACCGTTGTCAGAGCTAAAATATTAATAACAATAAAAAAGGTTTATTATTTAATAATCAAGTTTTATCTGCTCCACCATACATTAAATAACCTTGGCGAAGCGTCCTTTATATGGGATAGTATTCTTATTCATGTATGCGAGAAGCATATTCCCAATTAAATAGCACTAAGCACAGATTGCTAATTACCTTCTTGCAAGCAATGTGGGTAATTGTTGTTGTATGCATTAACACACGGATCTTAGAGATTGAAATTTGGTTTACCGTGTAAATTCTAAACCAGTAGCGCGTAGCGTAAAGATGATGCACTCTATTTGCTATGCACCTTTAAAGATTCCCTTCAATTCTGGTCTGATGTCAATTTTATGATATTGCTACATTCTCCAACTATTCCGACGTTCAATGATTATTTCCGCAGCTCAGATCATCATTATGTTTCAAGCTCCTTGCATAACAAACCCCATTTCCGATTTATTTTGTACTGTATGAAAGATTCATTTATTTGACATTTTCTATTACCTAATCGATAGTTAATTGAAATAGAAGAATGGATGATTTGGCGGGGATAACTATTAATTATCTCTTTATCTATCTATTTATCTATCAATAAATAAATAGCAAGACAGCGAGCCAGGCTCGATTTAACGACCATTTAATGAAATCGCGAGTTAGCGACTCTTGTTCCCAGATCACGCTATATTGGAATCGCGCTCAATTTAGCGATGTCTATTAATATTCTCTCAAACTTGCATTTTAGCGATATCTTGGTACCAATTAATCAGTAAATCGAGCCCTGACTTTATAGTTAGAATTCAAGCTTTCATTAAATTAACGTTAAGCATTTAAAGGTTGATTTTTCTTAAATTTTTACATTACAAAACCAGAGCATTAAACTTCATCTTTTTAACGTTATCATTATCATTATCGTTATGAATCAAACAGATCGTGATAGTCAAACTGCATACATAAGTAAACTGACATTGATTGGCTTTACTGTTATTATAGATTTGTATGTGCAGGCAATGCATCAATTGATTTTGCAGATTCTATTTGTTTGGCTGCAGAGAACTGTCGTCCAATAAAGGAAATAGCTTTATTGGTAAATGACGAAGCACTTTATTATCAGAGTTTGTCCAAATTTCATTTTGGACGAACAATAATCGTGTACGCTGTATTCTACACTACACGTATATTACATGTACTTATATATGCACGATTAAATGAAAAAAAATTATTTGATCAATAATTCTCCTGATTCGACAAGTCGTATAATATGAATTTTTGTCTGTTCTAAATAGAAATCCAAAATTCTTGATGGAAATTCAATTCACGATTTAATTTCAAATCTTCCGTTTTCTGAAAAATAAACTTTTACGAACGTTGCCTTGAGATTGCAAATGGTTGGCGGCAGCTGATGTTATGTTGGTAGACTAAAATATTTCCCGTAATTAAAATTAATGGTAATTAAAGTTTGGTGATTATTTTTTTCTTGGCGTATTTTACGCGCAGTCGTTGAAGATTGTCTTGTAATCGCGCTCAAGCATTAACTATAAAATGTACACATGTCGTTATTTGAGGAAAGATAGTTTGAAGAGAAAAATTCTAAATACACCGTCTGTTGTTTCCTTAATTTGGAATTACTATGCTTCTAACCAATGTCTTTGTATGAAATGGAGAAACGTCTACGTCCACTAGAATTTCAGAATTTTTATCACAAGGTTTTGATGGTCCGTTCAATCAGAGTATTGATATTATTTAAGCGTATTACACTCCATCCCTGCTATAGCGGAGCAATGAGTCAGAACTGGATTTTTATACTGTTACTTTTGTAGCGGAGATTCACTATAACAGACTGATTTTTTCAGCTCGACAGATCCATTATATCCGGAGGGATTTCATATGGCTGATTAAATTGATACTCGAACAAAAAGATCGATACTATAAAATCATTTGAATGAAGCAAATAAAGTTTTTCAAGAATGATAAAAATAACGATTTGATTTGCCTCACGATTTGCTTTACTCTTTACAAACAAATAAAATCAAGCTGCAAAAATAGTTTAAACCAAATCAAATCAATAAAAAATGTCTTCACTAGGTAAAGAATTGCCTAACCATTGAATTCAGATCGAGTAGTTTTGAATGTCGGAGGTGTCAAAACAAGTATTTGCTTAAATTAGAAAATTATTGATCTTTGATTAAAACTACAACAATAACAATAACAATAACAATAATAAACTATACGTTGGAACGATGTTCCATCCACGTAATGCGGTCATGCTAAAACTTACGAACGGGAATGAATACTTTTTCGACCGTAATGGTCACGTATTTAAATATATAATGGAATTCTATCAAACAGGGAAATTTCTTTGGACGAAATTTAATAACAATTTACAAGATTTCCAATCAACTTTTGTTTCGGGAAGAATAATCAAGTATGTCGACGTCCTGTTTCTGCGTACATCACTAAAACAAGAATTGGATTATTTTCAAATTCTGATGTCTTATTAGCCTACGTATAACGATAATGCGAAACGATCGTCGAATTTGTACATGTCAATACTGAAAAGCTTAGCCTAGATTTCTATAAAAACAAAAACTTAAGTCAGTCCCTCTAGCTATCTTGACATTCAAAATTTAAAAAATTCAGTAAAAGTGGATATTATATTCTTAATTCGGTGTTGCCTAATTCTTTTTATTAAGATCGATCGCTCAAAACTCCCCTGAAATGATGAAAATTGAGATGACTACACCAACTAGCGAGATATTTTAACAAGGTCGATTTCAAAAGGATTTTCGTAAGTGAACATTATCATTTTTCTTTTATTGAAGTGAGCCTAATATGGTACATAACATCTAAAGTCATCAAACGTTTGTGTTTTATAAAATGTATAAACATCTTTGCTAAGAAGTAAATACAAAATTTAATCCGTGAATATGCTCAGAAAGGGCCTATTCTATCATATTCACGGATTAAATTTTGCATTTACTTCTTTGTAAAGAAGTTTATACATTTTGTAAAATACAAACGTTTGATGACTTTAGATGTTATGCACCATAGTAATTTTAATCTTATCATTATAAAGTACATGTAATAGATTCTCAAAATTGACTTTTACATTATTTTATATATGGTGCAAGCAGTAGATAATTGCTATCAAAATATATCACAATATAGTTCAATATATTACCAATAGTATGGGTAAATCTAATTCAATAATTATAAGCTCTCAATAAAAATATGGAATTAAATATAAATTATTAAGCAAAAAATTCTTAAAAAAAGTCAAAATTATAATTAAATATACTAATTTATTAATTATTATTCAAAAAATAGCTCAAAAGTCCAGATTTCTAATTTAAATTTTTAAAATACTGACCTTGATAATATAATTCAAAAAATCTAATTTAAATAAAAATAATAATATATCAATTTTATTTATATATTAATAAACAAATACTAAAATTCCAATAAATAATCAAATTTAAACTCAAAAAAAATAATTATTTATAAATATTATTATTATAATCTAACATAAATAAATTAATACTATTATTATTTTAGTTGAATTTAAGATAATTACAAATAATTTCTAAGTTAAAAGATAGATAATATATATTTATTTTGGTAATAGCCAAAATAACTTTAATATAACTTTAATAAATTATAATATAAAATAATAAGTCTTTAAACTAACTTTAAATTATAGATCCAAATTCTGTTAATGAGTAAAGTTGTAAAATGAAGTCGAGTTTTCTAAAATTACTGTGTTAGAGTTTACTATCCTGAAATTAACTATGTACATGTACTATGTCCCGTTGGACATGGTAAAGTTACTATGCTCACGTTCAGTTTTGTTTTCCTCTCTTTTTAAGCGCGCCAGATATCCCACAGAGGAACAGGCTTGCCGACCACGCTCTCCATCGACGCCATTTTCCAAAATTTGGCTTCCGTGCTCAGTTGAGGCTCCTCCTCAAGTTCCATAACGGCGACTTCTTCCTTTGCGATCTCCGAACCAGCGAGCTTGATTCTAGGCTGCATTCCATCCTTGAAATCCGCGGGCACGTTCCCCTCCGGAACTGGGGGGCCGATGCAAAATCTGTTCGGAGTGGACACGCCCGACGGATCATACTTTTGCACAGTCTTTCGTACTTTCCTTCTGGGTGTTGGTCGTAATAATACTGCTGAGCGTCACTCAAGTCAAAGTCGTGCGAGCCCCACAAAACGCGACGGTCATGTTCGCAAAATGTGGCCTCCGGCTTTCCAACCCCCTCATCGTTTTCTTGCTGCCACTTTGTCGCCTGTTCGTGTTGGTAGCTATGGTAAAATGCATCCATCGTGCAGCCAAGGCGCGTGTCTCGCCAACTGAACGACGTGGGACTGTTTTTTCCGTTTTGACAAAATCGCGAGTTGGAGCCACCAAAATGCTGAAATTGTGCCCGACAAGTTGCATTCTATTGTACCGGGAATTGTATTGCATCCTTCTTCGATTCGACCGGAAACCCAATCCGTCCACCTGAGATCCTTGAGCCTCTGGGAACTGGAATTGGACGAGTATGTACGGAAGTTCGAACTCCCGTGTGATTGGAACAATCCAGTGGCCGGTCAACATAGACATTGGTGTGTCTTTGTCGCTGACTTGGACTTTCCCTTCGCCGACGACCTGTCGAATTTTGTCGATGAAGTTCGGGTTGTAGATTTGCTGATCTCCTTGCAGATTGGTCCACTGCGCGAAAACGACGATCATCGCGGGCCAAGCTACCTGTGGCTGACCCTCTTTGCATATAGCTCGTCAACACCGATATACAATAGTCGTAATCGGCCGGGAAATTTTCAACTTCGGCCATTTCCACCATGACATCCAACAAGGCCTTGAGACGTAGGCGGTCGTATGGGTATGCGGCTCTGAAACCGTGAGAATTTGGGTTGTCTTGGTCTCTGAAGACGTGCAGCGTGGCGTGGGTAAGCACCCCAAAATTTCCAGGACTCCCACCCAACACGGCGAAAAACAAATCCTCGTTCTATGCAACAAAGTTGCGGCAAATCCAGTGCCCTTGACCGTCGGCGGTAATAATGCGGAATTTTTTGACATGATCCGAGAGGAGCCCGAAACTTCTGGCCAACTGACTGTATCCTCCAGTTTGGATGGCACACAAATCGATTTTTTTCCCTGAGCTTGGCATTGAACTTGCCCACCGAGAAGCTGACACCGAACGTCACCGACGTGCAATTCTCATCGTCCCATTCAAAATCCCTGTACGTCTGGGTTGAATTTTTTTTTACTTGTGGACGACGCGCCGCTGTATTGATGACCTCCTGTGCGCACGGCCACAGCGATTTTGTTGTCGCTCGCGTACTTGATGGCTTTGATCACGTCGCTGTCGTCTGCTGCCTTTATAATAGCCGCCAGTCGAATGATGTCCTCCTCCAAGTACGAGCTCGATGCATACTGATAGCATTGAGCCTCGTAGTCAGCATCACCGCGTTTGATCACCCTGCCCTTGAATTTCGGGAACTGCTGTTCGACATTTATTCCAGAAGCAATCTCTTCGATACCAGGAATGGGAATGTCTGCAATTTTAATTGCAGATTTTTAGAAATCAAACGTTGAGGGATTGTATTAAATATAAAAGTATCGGTACACAACACGAGGAGAATAATAGCATCTTCTTTGATATTGTCTCAACTTGGCATTTGCATAACGATAATGGAGTACGAGAATAATAGCAAAGATCGCCATTCTTATGTTGGGTGCCTAATTGAGATAACGGAGTAAACCTGTTAACGCTAGTGACTTGAACCGGGTATCCAAACCATCAACCGGTTAACCGAACCGGTCCCAACCGAGTCCAATCGGTTTTTCTTGGTTGACCCGGTTCAACCAGTCAACAGGAAGAGCGATGTGTTCAGGAATATTTTATTCCTCTATATGTCGAGGATTTCTGTTCCCCCTAGCTGTGCGTGGTCAATTTAGCCAAACGATAAAACTCTGAAATTACCAGCCTAAAAAATCAGCTATATCATGCTAGGAAGGGTGTACGAGATAAGGAAAAGTTTATCTCCAGCTTAGAAAAACGGTTAGTAGAATCCGAGGAACAGGTTGAGAAATTATCATATAGGATCAAGGCTATCTCATCACGAAGGAATTCTTCAGTACGAGGAATTCTCCAGATCAATATAGTTCAGATACAGATCCGAAAACACCGATCTTATTGGAAACATTAACAGAGGATTAGAACGGATTGAAAATCATATTAGAGGTGCTGGTACACCGCTACAAAACCCTATTAATATTTTAGATGGTATAAGAGGTTCATCTTCTGCTAAAAAAAAATAAGTACAAATATAACATGCACAATAATCACTTGAAGATTTTTGAGAGAAATGATCCTCTTTGAAAACTGAACAATCTTTTAATCCAATACAAGAAGCTTGTAAATTGCATTTTAGAACTTTTCAAGAATGTTTGTTGCACCCACCTCTACTAAAAAAATATTTATTACTATAACAAAATAGATAACAACATTGATGAATTCAGGTTCTTTCAATTAGTATTTTATTTTTTGTATCTCTCTTGTGAATTTCATCCTGATCAAAATTAAAATGACTAGAATATGCACCTAATAATTATAATATTTTATTTCTGTATTTCTTTATTTTTTTATTTGCTAATACAAAATCCAATTTTCACGTTTCTTGTAGCTATTTAATTGGACGAGATACAGAATTGGTACATCTCTGAACTTTGTTATTAATAGTATCTATAATTATACATTGACTATTGAATTCTTTGATTTTTATTAAAGTATCAGAAATATCATAATAATACTCAGTATCTTCAGTCTCATTTATTGATATGATTAATGTAAAATCTACTTCTGACTGATAATTAATATCAGATATCAACCAGTTTATATTCACTTCTTTTTGTTTATACTTATTTGATATGTTTTGTTAAATTATGAATTAAATTAAAGATTTTTTCATCAAACTGTAAATTTTCAATATACTTATAATTCAAAAAGTCAGTATTAATATTATCATCAGTATTAATATGAGTAATATTATTATTAGTAATAGTGGTAGAAGAATTCAGACACTTCAGAATTAATATTAAAATCTTTACAACTATAATATTCATCATCATCAAGGATTTCATAATTCTAAACTTCTCGCAATGACATGTTGCAAAAATATCTTTTTCTTCTATAATTTTGCTTAATTATAATTTATATTTTACTAATATTGTTTTTTATTGTACTTTCCTGTTTAATAGTAACTGGTATTTATTTTTATGATAACATTATTATTATAGTTGTTTGCTGTTTGTTTAATCATAATTATCATTTAATTATAACTTCTATCTGTATAATTTTAATTAATATTGCTATCAATTGAATTGTAATCACTTATTTTAACATAATTTTCATTAATTGAAGTTGCTGTTGCCTCTTATTTTTTATTGTAATTTCACATTTGTTGTTTAATTGCTGTGTAATTATAATTTTTTAGTTGCTTATTAATAATTATATATAGTTTATTGCTTATTATTTTTCAGTACATCATCTGATAAGAAGTCTTTCTTGTTCTGTTGATAATTTTCATTGTTCAATAACTTTTTCTTCATGTTGTTGTTCTAAAAAATATATTTGAGCTTCTTGATAGTTAGTTAGTTGATCCAAATTCATTAGTTCTATGACTAGATTGTTCAAGTTGTTCTTTAGTAGAGACTGGTTTAAGTTAATCAATTGGTGCAAGTTGTAAAAATATAAGTTATGCAATTTTCTGTTGAGGTTGGATAATATAATCTTCTTCTGAGTTATTTTGAATAATAATACTAATATTTCTAGTATAACCAGAGTTTATTGTTCCATCTTTTATATTAATTACAAGTTTAGCAAGTAAAGAGTGAGACATTACTTAATATACAACTCCTACAGAAATTTTTATGGCAATATGTATATCTACAAGGGTAACTTGATGAGAGGAAATTCTAATTGATCCTTTTCCAGTATAATAAATATTATAATTAGTATCTGTTAAATAAGCTTTTTCTAGTAATTTTCTTTATTTTGATTATTGTAAACTTTTATTTTATAGTATTCAGTATTTTGAGTGACAGATTTTTTTTTCAATATTCATTAAGTTGTGAAATTTCATTAAGAGTATAGATGTTATCAAATTTTTCTTTAATTTCAGTCCATTTATTCAATTTGAGGAGATTGATTAGAAATAGAAATTATATTTTCTTCTTCAATCGTTTCTTCAACTATTGAATCTTCTTCTTCAATTGGTTCCAAGATCATAATTAATTTTTTTTTATTCATTTTGACAGATAGTTCAGATTGTACACAATCATCACATTTTTCATTATCACAAGGAATTAGACATTCTTGACAAAGTTTGATATTGATATGTTCTAGGTGAGCAAGTTATTGTCTTCTAATAGGACTTAATTGTTGATATTGTTACTGTAGTAACATAAGTTTCTCTAATTCGATAATCTTTCTTTGATTATGCGAAATTTTCTTTTTCTTAATTTTTATAATTTATCACCTGATTATCATTATTTTTATCCAATCGTATAATTATCTCACTTTATAT